AGCTTGAGGGAGAGTTAGATAGAGCTGGATTTAGCGTTTCCAACAAGCATCGAAATTGCTCTGGAAGCCTTCCTTGCAGAAAGATAGGGTCTGTCAAATTTCGTCGAGTAAATGTCGAGGAGGCCGAAATTTTCACGCGAGTTTTTGCCACTTCAAGAGCAATATATCTCTTATATTGTAAGATCCTGAAAAAGGGAAGATAGTTTTGGAAAGCGGAAGGTTTGCGCTTCCTGATGGTCTGTTTAGTTTTCTTCTACAGCTTTTTGGTTGAAGAGATAATTGCGTCGAGGATCTATCGAGGTCGGATCCGGCCACCTGGAAATCCGCTCCCTCATTCACCATTGCAAGTGTGACTCGTTGGCAACACTCGGAATGTGTCTAGAACAATATCTTTGAACGCAAACAATAAGAATAGGAGCAATCGTCATCATCCGATTTGGTATTGGTATAAGCCATGCATCCCTCCTCCACTCACAGTTGCAGAATCGATTGAAAGGTGTTATATGATGGGGACCTTCGAACGAAACTGTATTGTAGTAGACATAGTGTGTTGTGCTATTCCTGTAACCTAAAAAACAACTTCATTTGCCCAGTCTTGTTTTTTTGTCTTTTTCTTCACGGTTGTCGTTTTTCCGACAGGGTCCCTAACAACAGCGTCATTCTCAGCGAGGTATTAAGGGAGAAGGAGCGAGTGATAGGCGGAGGAGGTGCCTTTGCAGCGCGTGCGCACATGTGGCACTCTTCTTTGCGGGGATGCACTTTCATTCTTTGTACTGCCTTCAAATACGCCCTTCTCATGAAGGTGGAGGAATGGAGCGACTGAACCTGCAAAGAAAATTTAATATCATGTTTTTTTTCGGATGTTTTCATTTTCTGCTGCGCTATACCCTATTACCTATCTGCACCATGATACCACTTCTGTTACTGACCCCAAGAGTACGACCCCCCATGGACCAGCCCAACAGGTACGACCCCCCTGTCGAGGATTTCCTCGACCGATATTCACCCTGTGTGAGCGATTTCTGTTAACTTCGCTCGGGGTTTGCTCTGTTTGGAGAGGAATCGAATGAATGATTTATGGTGGGATCTGTTTAGTGAGGTTAGCAATGGTGGTTATGATTGTTGGCGTAGTTCCATTTCTACACCGCGGAATAAGGAGCAAAGACAAAAAAGTGTCGAAACGGCCGCAGGACTGTTTTTACACCCTAAAAAATTGTAATGTGGGTTACAAACCCTAGTTCATATTCTGATTGTTGTTAGAAGTGTTCTCAGGAGAGTTTGGTAGAGTGGTTTTCACCTAGGTTTGGGCCGGCGGACCGGAATAGTGCGGATAGGGTTGGCTGCGGCGGCGCCCAGTGTTCCAGGAGCAATAGTTCTGTCCTCTGGCGGGTGTTAGCCGGGAGCGTGGTGGGGCTCTGAGCAGCTTCGGCTGAGGAGGCAGTGGTCAACCCTACGTATGTTACAAGTACACGGGGGGGGGTTCGTAGTTGTTGAAGTGGGGGGGTCGTACTGTTTGGTATCAGGATTACATGTGGATAAAGGTGAGGAGCGGGCGGCCACGAGAAAATTTGCCGCGGAAAAAGGGAGGCGTGGAAATATAGGGTGAAAAAGAACGGGCTGAAGGAAATTAGGAGCGAGTGGAAATAGAGTGATAAAAGAGGGAAGATAAAGGGAATACCAGGGAATTTGTGTCGGTTTTATTGGTGTTTGTATACCCGCCCCGGAATGGCGGGAGGGTTCGTCTGAAACTTCTCGTGAAGCGGGGGGGTAGTAAAAAACTTCGCAAAATAGTACGCGATCGGACCGATCCTGGCTGAAGGTCGAGTGTCTAGGAGCGGGCACACCCGTTTGCAACAGAATGAGAACACTTCTCGATTTATGAAAACATCCCCTGACCTGAGCAGGGAACGTGCTATTCACAGTGAAATTTCAAGAAACACCATTTACGCGGAGGAGGATCATCATCGAATGAGAGTTATTGAACCAGTTAACGCTTTGCGTAGTTTATAAAATCAGTCTAAATAAGGAGGGATGAGCTCATGGAGCATTTGATGAAGGATTTTGATGAGTTGAGAATTTGTAAAAGCATAGTCGCCATTTCTGAAGTACACCAACCTCACTTTTTTCACTAGGGGCTTCATCGCTTGTGTGACTCGAATCACGCCCCATGCGTTCACTTCAGCCACCGCCTTGTAGTCGTCAACTGTCAAAAAGTCGTCGAAGAACTCTTTGCCCAGTATGCCAGCGTTGTTCACCAGACCGTGTAAACCTGAGCAAACACTTTTACTCTCATACTCTAATTCGACATCACGTACTATGGTCTCTCCCCTTTTGAACAAGTTCAACTAATGACCAATCCAAAGAATGATGATCAATCCAAAGAAAAGACTCACCGCCGAATTTGGCCAGTTCCGGGACTCTAGGTATTTTTTTGCTTCTCTCACACTTTGATCGCTTGAAACGTCCATAAGGAATGCGTCAATAGGAGTCCTGCAGTTTTTCGAAAGCTCTCGAAGTTCCTCGATGGACTGGAAAATGTGGCGCGAGTAAAAATTAACGATTTGAAATTAAAGGAGCTTGTTGAGTTCCGCTTAGAAATAGCTAGCCATCGACGAAGACGAGCTCGACAGCACAGCTCAATCCCTATCCCGCACTAGATGAATTTCCCCTTCTACGACCTCCGACCCAGGCGTGCTATTCCCCTTTGAAATCGACCAAATCAGATGTGAAATTGGAGAAATCACTGACCTCACTGCGAATACAACCTGCGAACACAGGCATTCCTTTCTCAGCGCAACGAAGGGCAAGAGCTCGGCCGAACCCTGAAATAAGA